TGTGAAAATATTACCACTGAAATCTACCTGATGACTTTATATCCATGCTCAGATGCCAAGGAGCTCAGAAAGTAACCGACTGTGACTCATAATAATCAGATATATAGAGATTAGAAACACATGTGCAAACATCTTAATGTCAATTGCATTAAAAATGATTTTTTTCTGTATGAAAGTGTATATTTTAATAATGAAATGGAGATCTTTTTTTAAGTTCTACTTATCATTTAACTTTATGTCTTATTGGGTTTATACTGAGTACAATATTGTATAACTGTAATAATTCAACTGTAAACCTAAAAATTTACAGCCAATTTTGAAAGAGATGCATCTTAGCTCAGAAAATTGTTATTGAATATGTCAATGCTGTTGTAATAAAATGCTTCTAAGAATGTGGTTTTTAAGTAAATAATTCTTAAAAAATTAAAAAAAAGAAAGCCCTCCATGAACCTAAACAACGTATCTACAGACCTACTGTGGCTTGCATAACCCCAGTTTACGTGTTTTAGTGCATTTTCTCTAAGGTGTACTCTAAATTTTGAGCCTTGGAAAACACCTGTGTGGAATAAAGCAGTTTCTAGAACTGTAGCTCATCTTTCTCAAACAGCTTCTATTTTACATATAAATGGGGATATGCTTTTTTTAGATTTAAACATTTGTTATTATTACTGATGAGATTTTTAATTAATATGTTTAAAGAAATCAAGGTCTTGATGGTCTTTTCCGAGCAAATCTGAAGACAGAGCAATCAAAGAAAAGGTAAGCATCTGTGTCTGTTCTGGAAGTCCCCCAGATTACTTGCCTTGTTTCTTCAGACAGTGGTGGGAAGGGAGCTTCATCCTCTGGCATACAAACATGCTCACAGATGGGCTAGCTCTCTCAGCATTGTACATTTAGTTTACACATAATTGCCCAGAAGGATTTCTGCTCTTTCATTCAATGAGAGTAAATGAGCAATTCATGAAGAATGTTTATTATATCTGACCTTTCAAGATGCCATACAATTTGATTCTAATGTGCAGTTTTTTTATTGGAATTCTTTGTGTTTACAGAGCCCAAAGTCTTGAAAGTCTCATCTATATGAATGCCCAGTTGGACAGAGATGGCAAAGGGTAAGATTCCATCAAGACAGGCCTCTTTGGTTGAATCATTGATTGTTTTCTGTTGTCTGTGGGAGACATCTTCCTCAGGAGAAGGGTCAGGCTTTTAATGGCACAGGCTGTTTGAAAATGTCAACACTGGCTGGTGTCTCAAAGCTGACACTCCCACTGATATGGATCTTAGTGACCTGGTAAAGTGGCTTAATCTCGGGGAACCAGCGTTCTCATCCCATAAAATGAAAGTCATGGCTAGCTGATCCTGGGTGAGCTACATGCTCCCTTTCATATCTAAACATGAGAGAAATCCAGCTGGTTGCTATAGGTAACCAGCTATGAACTAAATATATTGACCATAAAACACTTTTGTTTGGGGACATAGTCACTACTGAAATCTTTAGGATGTAGAAGACACTTTTCAGTTGGAATCTTGGTCACACTTTGTGTGTATCTCTACATATGTATTTGTATCTTAAAGTCAAAAGCCATTTTGTAAAAACATTTTGTAATGGATTAATTAATGATTAGTAACTAAACTAATATCTGAGCAATTTATAGTTCTAGACTGATGCTGACATACTAGAAAATTGGCTTTTCATTGCTAATATTATTTTTCATATTGCAAGAAATCAAACTCTTGATAGTCTCACTAAATAAAATTCTAGAAGAGACAAGAATGACAAAGGTTAAGATCTATGAGAGTTTTAATATTTTTTTTCTTAGACTATTTACTTTGTATTTGGCTAGTCATTAAATTTGTCTTCCTAACATGGTCATTATTTCTGTTGTCACATTTATTTTTAAAAACCATTTATCTTTGGGGCTGGAGAGATAGCTCAGCGGTTAAGAACACTGTTCTTCCAGAAGATCCAGGTTCAAATCCCAGCACCCACATGGCAGCTAACAACTGTCCGTAACTCCAGTTCTGGGGGATCTGACAGCCTCTTTTCTCCTCCACAGGCATTGCCTGACACAGGTGCACTTACCTACATGGAGGGAATACACTCATACATATAAAATAAAAATAATAAATATATTCTAAAATGAAATGGAGATCTTTTTTAAAGGTGAAAAACTCATCCAATTTTATGTCTTACAGGGTTTATACTGAGTTCAATAA